TCTCCACCCATATCCGGATGGTGCGGCATAAGCGAGTCGTGCACGTGCTGGAGCGCAAGCACAAATGTCCCACGTGTGGCAAAAAGTTCAAGAAGCTGGTGCATGTACGGAATCACCTGCGGACACATACGGGGGAGAGGCCGTTCCAGTGCTCCGAATGCGGCAAGACGTTTGTTTCCCAGGCTAACTTGGCCCGGCATCACGTAACCCACACCGGAGAACGGCCCTACCAGTGCCAGGTCTGCGACAAGCGCTTCACTCAGTCCTCGAATCTCCGCCAGCATCGCCTTTTGCACATGGCTCCTAACGGAGACGGGTCCCACTCGTGTGACGACTGCGGCGCTGCCTTTCTCCGAGCCCGTCAGTTAGCCTTGCATCGAACGGTGCACACAGGGTGCTTGCCTTTCCCTTGTCCGGACTGCGACAAATCCTTTTCACGCCATCGTCTCCTCGAACTGCACCGGCTCAGCCACTCCGGACACGAACCTCACCGCTGCCCAGACTGTGGCGCTCTTTTCGTGGCGGCCTCCAAGCTGCAGGAGCACCACTGTGCCGGGCAGAACGAGCAGGGGAGCCCCCAGCAATCATACATCTGCACCTCTTGCGGCAAGTACATGGGCTCCTTGGCCAAACTGACCTTACACCAACTGGTTCATTCAGGGCAGCGTCCGTACAACTGCCCGCTCTGTGGGAAAGCCTTCACTACCCCTAGCGGGCTGAGCCGACATCAACAGCGCCACGCTGGCCTGCGCCCTCACAAGTGTCCTACCTGCAACAAGACATTCGTGGCAGCCTCAGGGCTGCAGCTGCACCAGCGCACGCACACGGGCGAACGCCCCTTCCTCTGCCCAGATTGTGGCAAAGCTTTCCGACAGGCCACCCACCTTCGTGAACACCGGCGCCTGCACACCGGGGAGCGGCCCTATCGCTGTCCAGAGTGTGGCAAGGCCTTCGTGCAGTCCATGCACCTGGCTGAGCACAGACGGATCCACACCGGGGAGCGCCCCCACCCTTGTCCCCTCTGCTCCAAGACTTTCAAGACCGTCTCGAACTTGCGGAGCCACCGCAAAACGCACACAGCGCTGGCTGACAGCCAGGATGCTGTGCAGCCTTCGGAATCTCTTGTCGCTTCCGGCCAATCCACCCAAACCATTATGTGCACCAAGTTTGGGGAGACCATTGCTATAATTGAGAGCGCAGAGCCTCTCCCCATGATGGAGACCATAGAGATCTATCTAGAGATGTAAATTTCCCAGAAATGTAGAAGCCGTGCCAGGGGAGGGGAATTTCCCATCTTTTTGTGTATTTAGTTACAAGGGAGGCGCGAGGGCAGCATCCACACTTTTGCCTTGGTGCAGAGGTTTTAAATCCTCTAGAACTCTTCTGTACACAAAGGCTTAACATGCCAGCGGGAAACGGAGAGCACCCCTCTCTTCGTGCATCTTTCAGCAGGGCTTCTCACTGCACCAAAAGTTCCTCATCAGCTGTTTTAGTTTCGCATGGAGGCCTAAACTACAATTTACGGACCTCATTTTGAGAATTTCTCTGGGCAGTTCCTTTTTTGTCTGGGGGGGTGGTGGGGGGGGTGCTGTGGATTGGAGTTGGACCAGCCACCTTGATCGCAGCCGGATGCTTACCGTAAATTAAAAGAGATGTGTTATATTCCATTATGGTCCCCCAGTTTCATTATCGGAGATTCTAAGGAATGGCTCGATACAGCATCTAGGACAGGCTGTCCTATAGTTTTGACTATTGAATTATTGGCTTGCTTTCAGGGGAGGGGGAATGTTATTCGCTATTAAGTCAAACAAAGTTGTGATTTTATGATAGAATAATAATGCTACATCTTAAGGCAAAAGAAAGGGGATACTTTTGTGCTTTGATAGTTTGACACAGTTTTATTATGTCTGCAGTCCTAGCAGAACAAGCCGCGTTTTAATTAAAACTGTCCCAACTGAGCAACAAGTAAAAATACAGGATTTTTGCTTTAATGTGTAACTCCTAGCTGAAGGCCAGTTCCATTTTTTTTTTTAAATTGGAAAAGCTCTGTGCCATCTTTAGATGATTGGCGTATGATGACTGATGAACATGCATGTTTTAAAACTCGAGAATTTTTATGACGATTTTTCCAGACCAAAATATTGCAATATGCATAATGGGAAAAAGAAATAATGATTTCCATGGGTAGTCCATCGCCCTGGGTAGCTTTGTATTTGCTGCATTTGGACATCACATTAACACGACCGATGTGACCCAATCCAAGTTCATCCAGCATACTAAACTTTTAACTACCATATGTTGGCTGGCTTGACAAAAAACATTGAAGTATTTGCGGAATCTGGAACGGTTAGCAAACAGGCATGTCAGTTATCATGTGAGGATATTATCTTTTTAGGATGTGACACTCAAAGACAGTCTAACTACTGAAGCAGATGGAAACAACAGGGGTAAAAGCTGGCACTGTTGAGTGAAAAGATTCCAGTGTAACAACTAACCAAGGAACTATGCCACCTGGTTGGGGGCCATAATGAGCATGTTAATTGTGCACACCTAGCTACAATCCAGTGCACAAGTTCTCAGCTAATGCTAAAGGCTATTTTTTTAATTGGGTGTAGGTTCAATAGCAAGCTTGACAGCTGAGATTGCTAAGAGAGACTGCATGTCCCCCACTCATACACATTTGAACAAAGTAGAGCTATGCCATCCAATCTACATGCCATAAGCGTTCTTTAGTGAGCGTGAATTCTGTATAGGAGGATTTATGGCATTTCAAGTAGCCAGTCTTAACACAAGGAACATGAGTGGAGCCCAAGGTAGAAGCACAGCTCTAGGTCCCCATAATCTACCCCAAAAGAGTCAACCACAAGTGCTTGGGGCAGGAAAAACCTTGATCCCAACGTTAAGGAGCCAATTTTCATTTTTTTTTAAAACGAAACAAAACCCTGTACATTCAGATTTAAATAGCGAAGCTAGGGTGGTACACAGCTGAACCAATTCCTCCCTCTCTCAGATCTGTACAGATAGTCCTCAACCACAACTGAGCCCAAAATTTATGTTGCTAAGCGAGACATTTGTGAAATGAGTTTTGCCCCATTTTACGGCTTCGCTTGCTAGGTTTCTTAAGTGAACCACTGCAGTTGTTAAAATTAGTAACACGATTGTTTAGTGAATCTGGTTTCCCCTCCCATTAACGTTACTCGTCAGAGAGGTCCCAAAAGGTGATCACATGACCCCGGGACACTGCAACCGTCGTGTTGAGTCAGTTGTCAAGCATCCAAAGGTCGATCGCCTGACCATGGGGATGCGGCAATGGTCATCAGTGTGAAAAATGGTCATACATCCCTTTTTCCAGTGCCCTTGTAACTTTGAACGGTCACTAAGCAAACAGTTGTAAGTTGAGGATTACCTATATTTGGCAACGAACACCAACAGTGATTTTTTTTGAAAAAAAAAAATTCTGGGGCTTTCTTGCTGCTGCTATTGTTTATCTCATTTGATTCTCTCCCCATTAATAAGGAGCTTCATGACAGTCCTTCCGTTCATGCCAATAATTTATTGAACCGGATGTCTGTACACAGCCAAAAAAAACCTAAGAAAGAAACTAACACACAATGTTGGGAGGAAGGAAGGAAGGAAGGAAGGAAGGCAGTGATGAGGATAAATAGGAGGGTGAGGGAAATTATCCACAGGCTGCACCCTGGCTCCCTAGGAGGAACCGTCAATCCTAGATGATTTGCAAATGGAAAGGGAAACTGGGTTTTTTTGGGGAGGGGGGGGGTCAATCATTGCAACATTTCATTAAGAAAAAAAAATTAATCTATTTACAGGGAAAATGGAAAAAGGAAGCCATTTTAAGGGATTTAGATGAGGAAAATATGTATTTACAGCAGGGAGGGAACAGGCATTAAATTAAAACTTGCCTTCTCCAATTCCCTTTGAGAACGCTACGCCCCCAATCCCCCCCAATAGATCCACAAAATTGAAATTGCAGCACCGGGGAGGAAATCTGCTATAGGGAGCAGACGCAACAGAGTTTGGAGCAAGCTTCTGCTTAGTTTCCTGCCTGCTCTTAATACCAGCTTGTTCCAGACACGCGCAAACACACAACTGCGCACACACCACAGGGATTTTCCTCCCCCCCCCCACCGCAAGAAATCCCAGTGCTACCTCTGAGGGGATCGCAGGAGGAGCGAGGAATGGTTGGCCATGCCCCTCACCTCACAATCCAAGGCAAGGGGGAGAGGGCTTTCTTGTTCCCGGTAAGAGATTGTGGGCAGAGGCATGGCAAGCAAAGGAGCAGGTCCGGTGAGGGGGGAAGGGCGTTCGGGGAGGGGGAGGAGGGAGAGAAGGAAGGGTAATTCCCCGCTGGAATGGGACAAAAAAAAACAACCGAATGTTATTGGGCTATAAAAACAGACCCGCTTAAAAATACAGCATCCGGGTTTCACAGACAGACACGTCTTGGGATGGAGGGCACTCTGGAGAAGGAACCATTAACCGTGTGAAGGGGGATATACGAGAGGTGGAGAGTTTGGGAAAGCGTGAATGACATGAGACTGGGAAATAAAACCATTTTCCCCCCCCTCCCCAGAGGACGTTAAAAACAAGAGCAACTTAAAACCTCAATTAGGGCAGACTTGGGATTAGCCAGAGGGAGAGGAAGAGGAAGAAAGGAAGATGGCAGCAGCTCTCCGGTCCTTCCCCCCTCCACCCCTTTCCCGAGGCACCAACCTGAACCGGTTTCGACAGAGAAGGAAGCCCTCAAGCCATGGGATTTGTCTCTTCTCCCCACCCACCCCTCCCCGAGCCAAGGCATTAGAGGACCACCTTTGAGGGAATCCCCTCCCCCCCCCTCCCGTCCAAGTGGCCGTCCCATCCCCAATTGGCCTCCCCCTCCACCTGGTCCCCGGGCCAAGGTTGCTTTCCCCCACCATTCACAGTTCAGAGAAGTCCATGTGGGTGGCCTGGGGGTAGGGGGTAGTGGAGGGGACCTGCCCCCCGGGCCCAGCGACCCCTCAGGACGTATTGGCAATGGGTCCTGCGCCGTCTCCTGGTGTGACCTGGCTCCTGTCAGTGTTCATTCTTCCCTCACCTGGAGAGAGAAAGAGAGAGAGAGAGAGAGGAAACACTCAGTGGGAAGCCATGCTGGACCTTCCTTTTCCAAATAAGCCGAGTTTTTAGTCTCATTGTTAAGGAGCCCTGGCAGCGCAGTGGCTGAACTGCAATATTGCAAGGCCAACTCTGCCCACAGCCTAGAATTCGATCTTGACGGGGTTCAAGGTTGACTCAGCCATCCATCCTTCCGAGGTCAGTAAATTGAGGACCCAGATTGTTGGGGCCAATAGGCTGACATTGTAAACCGCCCAGAAACTACATGTAAAGCACTACTGAACTGTGTATAAATATAGCAATAGCATGTAGATTTATATATCGCTTCATAGTGCTTTTACAGCCCTCTCTAAGTGGTTTACAGAGTCAGCCTCTTGCCCTTAATAATCTTGAGTCCTCATTTTACCGAGTTTGGGAAGGATAGAAGGCCGAGTCAAAATTGAGTCACTCAGGATCGAACTCCTGGCTGTGGAATGCAGAGTTAGCCCGGAATACTGCGTTCTAACCACTGCGCCCCCAGGCCTCTTAAGTGCTATTGCTGTGGCACCCCATGCACAAATAACCCCCTCAAAATTCAAGAGAAGCGCCACGAATGAGAAAGCACTCACTGTGCGAGGTTCCAGAGCCAGACACAGTCCCAACTGAGCTCGCCTGGGACCGGATGTGCGGTGGAATGAGGTTGGAATTCAACCCTGGCTGGATGGAGAGCTCTGTAAAGAAAAGAGAGGTGGGGGGTGAGGCATCCCATAACTCATCTGGGGAGAATTCCCTCGTTTCTACAGGCTCCTCAACATGCCTGAGGAGCTGCTAACCTACAAAGGTTGAGAGCTCCACCTGACTTATTTTTGATGTGAGAGCCCATGGCACCAAGCATAAAAAATAGACCCAGCTTTTTAAAAAAAAATGAAACTCAAGCTCTTCACCAGTGGTAGTTTAAAAAGAGCTTTTAATCCCCCAACACTGCAAAATTTGTTTAGAATAGTTTAGAATAGTTTAGAATAGAATATTGGAATGACGAACAGAAATATAGAATAGGAATAGAATAAGAATAGAATATTGGAATGACTAGAACAGAAATATAGAATAGGAATAGAATAAGAATAGAATAGTTTAGAATAGAATAGAATATTGGAATGACTAGAACAGAAATATAGAATAAGAATAGAATAAGAATAGAATAGAATAGAAAAACAGAGTTGGAAGGGACCTTTGAGGTCTTCTAATCCACCAACTTTGGCAGGAAACCCTACACCACTTCAGGCAAATGGTTATCCAACATCTTAAAAACTTCCAGCGATTATTCAATGACAATGCAAAACAGAAAATTGTTTTAAGATCGTTCAAGCTGCAATTTAACCATTCAAAAGATAGTATCTGGAGCGTGGGACCAGCCTGAAGCGAAAGGCTGCAGGCCACATGATACCATCAAGGGCATTTTTCTCCTGTTAAACTGTTACACGGGCAACAGCTTCAACTGTGCCAACTGTGCCAAACCAAAAGGAGCTACGCTGTTAAAAAAAAAAAAAAAGAGCATTTCAGGGCTGCAGTAATTTATTCCCTTCCCAGTTCTGCTTCACTGAGGCTGCAACCCGTCCTGGGACACCTCATCTGACCTTTGGTAACAGAGGGAAATCAAATCAAATTAATTCTCTCCATAATCGGTTCCTTCAAATACAGGGAATAGGAAGCAGCAGAAGGTAGAACGGGGTGGTAGAATAAAATCTAAAGCCACAATATAAATGAGAGTCAGTTTGGTCTAGCGGATAAGGCAGCAGGCTAGAAAGTGGGAGACAGTGAATTCTAGTCCTGCCACCGTGGGCATGAAAGCCAGCTGGGTGACCTTGGGCCTATCACCAGGAGTCAGTGAATTCTAGTCCTGCCACCGTGGGCATGAAAGCCAGCTGACCGACCTTGGGCCTATCACCAGGAGACAGTGAATTCTAGTCCTGCCACCGTGGGCATGAAAGCCAGCCGGGTGACCTTGGGCCTATCAACAGGAGACAGTGAATTCTAGTCCTGCCACCGTGGGCATGAAAGCCAGCTGGGTGACCTTGGGCCTATCACCAGGAGACAGTGAATTCTAGTCCTGCCACCGTGGGCAGGAAAGCCAGCTGGGTGACCTTGGGCCTATCACCAGGAGACCAGGACATCATGAAAACTGGCTAAGAGATTTTGGAGCGATCTCTCTCTCTCAGCCCAATTCACCTCAACAGGGTTTTCGTTTTGGGGAAAACAGGAGGGGGAAAGTATGTTGTATATGTTTGCCACCTTGAGTTATTTGCAAAAAAAGAGCAGGATGTAAATTAATTAAATAAAAAAGGCGTTAGGTGAAAGGCAGCCCCCAATACAGTATCTAGCAGCAGTGGATTTAATTAATCCCCGGTTCGATCAAAGCACACTCCAAAAATTATTCACAGTACGTTTTCCATAACGAGCAACTGGGCTTCCTTGAATTTTTCAGCATTTTGGTGTGTGTGTGTGTGTGTGTCAGTCTTGCTTCCCTGATGACCCCCCGCCCCCGCTGGCATTTGGGGAACTATGGTGCCTGAAGTTCCCTTGGATTTATTTATTTTTAACAAACCAACCAAAAATCCTTCCCAGTTGTGTCCGACTGATTCGATGCCAGCCACTTACCCACAGGGCTGAAGTTGAACAGCGGGGGCAAGTCGCGGCCGTTGGCCAACCGAGCGTTGGGCTCACGCAGCTCGTCAAAGAAACTGTTGGCACAGGCCTCCAGGGGGGAGAGGCGAGTGGCGGGAGTGTACTCAAGCAGGCGACTGCACAGCGAGATGGCCTCCAGCGGCGTGCGAGGCTTAAACACCTGCAGCGGGGACGAGCAAGAGACATGGTCACGCCTACACCAGATTTGGAACGGTGTCAGCGTTCCAAACATCATGCAGAATTAAATCAGAGTCCAAGACAGAGTTATCCTTAAAGTTCCAATTTAATAAAACAGACATGTTGGCAACCATCTGTGGAATCCCAATTCTGGAAATTAATTAGGATTCCCACCCAGTTGAAAGTTCATGATTTTGTGACCCACACCCACAAATCCATCACATGGTCCAATCTTCTTTTTCCACGCTGGCATCTCCACCCGGCTGGACACCCGTCCTCTTGGAACCTTCCCTAAGCCCAATGCTTTTAGGGTCTCCAGGAATCACAGTTCATCCCATGGAGGCGCTCCATGCTGGAGATGGCTGG